AATGATTTCCATAGTCTCTTTATTGGTCTCATACTTAGCCTTTCCCCTATATTCTCTCCTCAAACTATCAGCCAGGGTAGTCCTAATATTGTTGTTGTTGCTAAGTGCCATCAAGTCAGTTCTGACCTATAGCAACCCTGTAATAGGGTTTCCGAGGAGCGGCTGGTGAGCTTGAATTACTGACCTTACGTGATCTTATTTCACTATTCTGCTCAAAACCATCCTGTGACTCTCCATTTCACTAGAATAAAAGTGAAAGTTCTTCGATGGCCTACACTGTCATATGTTGGCCGGCTCCATTTCAGAATGAAAACTTAGCCTGCTGCTGACGTGCTGTTGGCAGGTAACCCCTCAGCTGTCAGCCCCTTCAGAAGTCGTCTCAGTTCAGGAGATTCACCTCAACCAAGGTCGCAGAGCCTTCCTAGGGCAGCCACCTGGGGTTAAAGCTCCCAACTTGGAATGACTTTGAGAGGCCACTTTAGGTCTAGAGCTCCACGGGGTAGCTGGCTGAAGCTGTTGCTGGGCCTGTATGGCAGCTCAAATTCTCATTCTGTCCTCTTTTCTTCTCCTCTTTTCCATAAATTGTGATTCTAAAAGCACAATTCTATCCTAGGATCTCTTTCTGGTGAACCCAACCTGCAACAAATGTCCTACATACTATTTTGTTGTTATTAAGTGTCATCGAGTCAATTTCAACTCATAGCGACCCTGTTTAGTGTTTCTGAGGACTCTCTGACTTCAACATCTTACCTCTGCTTCGGTACACCGGTCTCTCTGATGCATCTTCAAGAAGCTATTCCTTCCACCTGGAACACTTTTCCCCAGATATCGGCATTAGTTATCTTACCTCCTTTCTAATATGCTTGAATGTTACTTCTAATAAATGATTGTTTTAATAAGTTGTTAACTTGTTTAAACAAGTCCACAAGAGGCAAAATTTGACCTTGCCCATATCCCACCTGAAATGAGAGATCATCTCAAGAACAGATAATAATGACCAAAGACCAAAAGAGTTGTGGGATGACATCAAGAATGTCATACAGGAAGAAAACAAAAGGTCATTAAGAAGACAAGAAAGAAGGTAAAGACCAAAAGGGATGCCAGAAGAGACTCTGAAACTTGCTTGCCAGTGTAGAGATGCTGAAGCAACTGGAAGAAATGAGGAGGTAAAAGAGCTGAACAGAAATTTTGAAAGGGCAGTTCAAGAAGACAAAGGCAAGTATTATAATAAAACATGTAAAAATCTGGAGTTAGAAAACCAAAAGAGAAGATTATGCTCAGCATTTCTCATGCTGAAAGAACTGAAGAAAAAAATCCCAAGACTCAACTTGCAATATTGAAGCATTCTATGGGCAAAATATTGAACGATTCAGAAATCATCCAAAGAAAATAGAAGGAATACATAGTAACTGAACCAAAATGAAATAGTCAATGTTCAACCATTTCAAGAGGTAGCAGATGATTAAGAGTTAATGGTAATGAAGGAAGAAGTCCAAGGTGCACTGAAGGTACTGACAAAGAACAAGTGTCCAGGAATTGATGGGACACAAATTGAAATCTTTCAACACACTGACACAGCACTGAAGGTAGTCACTCATCTCTGTCAAGAAATTTGGAAGATGGTTACCTTGCCAATTGAATGGAAGAGATCCATATTCATGCTCATTCCAGAAAGGTGACCCAACAAAATGAGGAAATAATCAAACAATATCATTAATATCACATGCAAGTAAAATTTTGCTAAAGATAATTAAAAAAAAAAAAAAACTATGACCGTACACTGACAGGGAACTGCCAAAAGTCCAAGCTGGATTCAGATGAGGATGTGGAATGAGTGATATCATTGTTGACGTCAGACGGTTCTTGACTGACAGTAGAAAATACCAGGAAATGTTTGCCTGTGCTTTATTGACTATGCAAAGGTTTTTGACTCTGTGGATCATGACAAGCTCTGGATAACATTGCAGGGAATGAGTATTCCAGAACACTTAGTTGTGCTCCTGAGGAACCTGTGCACAGACCAAGAGGCAGTCTTTAGAACAGAACAAGGGGACACTGAATGGTTTAAAATTACGAAAAGTGTGTACCAGGGCTGTGTTCTTTCACCATACTTATTCAATCTCTATGCCACACAAATAATCCCAAAATCTGAATTATATGAAGAAGAACATGGCATCAGGATTGGAGGAAGACTCTAACAACCTGTGCTATGCAGATGATACAATTTTGCTTGCTTGAAAGCAAAGAGGATTTAAAATACTTACTGATAAAGATCAAGGACCAGACTTCAGTATGGGTTATACCTCAGTGTAAAGAAAAAAAAAAAACTTCACCACTGGAGCAATAAATAACACCAATGATAAATGGAGAAAAGATTGAAGTTGTCAAAGATTTCATGTTACTTGGGTCAACCATCAACACTCATTGAAACAATAGTCAAGAAATGAAACAACATATTGTACTAGGCAAATCTACTGCACAAGACCTCTTTAAGGCATTCATGATCAAAGATATCAGTTTGAGGACTAAGGTGTGCCTTACCCAAACTATGATATTTTCAATGTGCATTTGAAAGTTTAGATAGTGACTAAGGAAGACCATAGAAGAACTGATACATTTGAGTTATGGTGTTAGAGAAGAATATTGGAAGTACCATGAACTACCAGAAGAACAACAAATCTGTGTTGGAAGAAGTACAGCCAGAATGCTCTATAGAAGTCAGGATGGACAGATTTCATCTCTCATACTACAGACATATTATCAGGAGGGACCAATCCCTGGAGAAGGACATCATGCTGGGTAAACTGGAGGGTCACTGAGGAAGATGAAGACCCCTAATGGACTCAAGCTTAACAGCAATTGTAAGAATGACACAAGACTAAACAGTGTTTTGTTCTGCTGTACATAAGGTCACTATGAGTCAGCATTGCCTTAACGGCATCGAACCACAACAAACAATAAGTACTGGACTGCTAACCCCAAAGGCTGGCAGTTCAAATCCACCATAAACCCTATACAGGGTCACTATGAATTGGAACCAACTTAAGGACACTTACAATAACAAATGAGCCTGGGTTCCTGTTGTGGCACTGTAGGATAAGCGCTGGACTGCAGACCACAAGGTTAGCAGTTCAAATCCTCCAGATGCTCCTCAAAAATCCTATACAGAGTCACTGTGAGTCAGAACTGACTCAAGTGCACTTAACTACAACAACAACGAATGAGGCTAACCTAATTCAGGTAAGATAAAGAAACAAGAAAAACATTTTTTAGGAGAAAGAGTTCTCATTTTTGCAATTCATTTGCTTACCTTTCTGAATCTATATTTCTCTTCTTCTTCTTCTTTTTTAATGATTTATGTTGTGTTTTTTTTAAAAGAAAGTTTGTTAATTACTATTTTAAATACATAAAAAGTGTAGTGGTGAGAACTCAGATTTGGATTTCAATTTGCCAACTCTGCCACTCTACATTGGTGCGGCCTGGGACAAGTCAGCTCAGTCCTTTTCTCCTCTTTTTTTCGGGGAAGTTGGGGTAATGATACTGCTTATACTTCTTAACGTAGTTATGAGGATAAAATGACCTAATATAAATAACAGGCTATGACAACCATAAAGAGCCATGTAAATATTAGGAATTACTGAGAGATAGTCCTAGGAAATAGACGTGCCAAAAAAGTTCATGAGCATTGTACTTGCCTCCTGGCCCTATGAAACTGTCTTTTGAGCCATGTTCAAATTGAAATGGACTGACAGCTTTCAGCAGCATTGAGAAGACTAACCCAGGAGACTGGGGGTCACTCCAAGAACATAGTGGCCATCTAATAAACATTACCCGGGACAATACAGACTAGTGACCAGCTAATACAGTCTAAGCACTTACACTGCACAAAATTCTAATATTTTTACTCTCCTTGCATTGACTTCAATCACTGCAGACTTTATTCTAATCTCTATGGTCCATGTAAGAAAATCACATAGGATTTCAAAGATCTAGTTCTATATACATTCATCAAAAGAACTTTAAATTTTAAAACAAGCCATATGTCTGGTTATTTGAGATTAAAGGTCTAAGTCTTTTTTAATGTATTTTGAACTCTAAGTTTTTATATTTATCTCTGTTGCTGTGATACAAAATAACCATTCTTAGCTGAAAAATAAAATAATTCCTTGAAGTATCAACTATTTTTATGTTTGCTTCCGTTCATTTTTCATTTAATGGAGTGAAATGTCCTTGTCCATAACCTCAAATCCACAAACTTGATTGATTTCAGAAGGTGCAATAGAGGCCCACCCCACAATGCAGAATGATAGGCCACCTAGAGGCTGGCACTGATAAAACCTACAATAGTCTAATATTTACTATTACAATATACATCTGCATTGCAGGTGGGCTGCAGATCCCACCATAGTCAATTCCTTTAATTATATAATTCTATGTTTAAAACAGAGTACTGGTGTGGTGCTGTGAGTTAATGTGCTGGACTGAAGTCAATTTGAATCTCAAAGTCAATGGTTCAAGCTTACCTGCTGCTCCCCGGAAACTCTATAAAGGGTCACTATGGGTCAGAATCGACTCATGGACCCTTATCAACAACAACAATGTTTCAAACAGTTAATGACAATGTTCATCATAGAGATGCCATTATTCAAAGTCATAATTCTGCAGTTAGACATAATAATTACATGAGTGCTAAAGAGGGACAAAGAAAGCAAACGTTATGACCTCACATTATGACTTTGAACACAGTTCCTATTACCATATAAGTAGAAGGTGACTGTGAGTCCTGATACAGACAGATTTGAAGCAACTTTCCTAAGTCTTCTGGACCCACTTGTATAGGGACAAATCCCTGTCTGGAGTGAGGCAAATCTGCGAATCCATCTTCTATACTCATGACGGTGTGTGTGTGTTTTTGGCCTTGAAAAAAATCAGTGATACATCAGATTACTCAGGCTCTTCTTTAAAGCAATTGTCCATTGAAAATATCTCATTTAAAGATATTAAGCACTCCTCCTATTTTTCTTCATAGCTTTATATAACTTAATATCCAGGCTTGGAAAACTGGAAACTTCCTCCAGATCAAACAACTCCTTAAATCTATCTACAAATTTATTTTCTTTCTCCAACCTGAATTTCATAACCCAGAGAATGATAGTAGTTTCTTTGCACAGATGGTCAAAGGTAATGAGGAGTTCTTCCAGAAAAGGATGAGCGTAGACAACATCCGCTGCCAGGATATAGTCAAAATTGTTTGAAGATCTGGGGAAGTTCTTATCTAAAGCAACTCCCCAAGAGAGCTCTTTAACCTGAGGCAGGTGTTTGCATCTCATTTTGGTGTTTCGGGAAACATTATATTGCAAATTTCCGAGTAATTCGGGTAAATCTGTGGCAGTCACACGTGCACCTGTGAAGCAAACGACAGTGGACAAAGTTACTCTCATGGAATAAAGTAAAACTTCCAAGTTTTAACCCAGCATTCATTCTGCAATTCTGCATCATTGCTAGTTCCAAAGAAAGGACTGGGCTGTACACACAGAAGGGAATTTTTTTAAATGGACGCTAAGAACTGCATATCTTCAAAAGTTTGTGAGAAAAACATGCCATCATCTTTAATGCCATTTTCAACAATCCTTTTGAAGCCCCTTGTACTTTCCACTAATAAACAAACAAACACAAAACCTTAACATTCTGTTGGTATATATACACATTTTTCTTTCTTGTTGACTTTTGGTTTTGTGTTGTCGTTGTTGCTGTTGCTGCGGGCTTCTATTTATCTATTACATGTTAGGAGAAAAACAATTGAGAAAAGGAGAATTTCACTATATTTGGTACCCTCATTGGCACAATTAGAAGTCGTTGATGAAAGATGAATAAGTAGTTCCCTAAGAGATTCCTTGTAAACCGCATACAGGGTCATTATGAGTTGGAACCGACTCAATAGAGTGTACCAACAATAACAAAAGATCTCTGGGCCTCGGAAAAGTCAGATCAAATAAACGCAGATGACATCAGGTCTACTATAGTTGAAAGGAACACTCAAGTGTGACAAGACTTTTCAGTGGCATTCCATTAAAAATATCATGACATCCATGGTTATGTCCAAATCTTCAACCCTATCATCAGTGTGAATTGTCACCCCAAAAGATGTGTAAAACCTACCCCAACATGCATAGAGTGATCTGGAAGTCAAAGAGTATAGATTCACAACATCTATAATCACCGATGCTCAAACAAAGAAGGTATTAACTATTAAAAGTAATAGTTGTAGTCATTTTAAGCAAGAAATTGGAAGAAACAAACTTGTAGAAATAAATTCATATAGAACCAATAGAAATTGGCTCATAAAGCTCACTTTAAGCAATAGCAGAGCCTGAAGAGAATTTTAATATATCTGTTGTTATTGTTGTTGTTGTTGTTGTTGTTGTTAGTTCTCTTCGAGTTGGTTCCAACTCACAGCCACACTATGAACAACAGATAGAAGTACTGCCAGATCCTACACTATCCTCACAATCATTGCTTTAGCCTGTTGTTGATGCCACTGTGTCAGTCCACCTCATTGGACGTCTCCCACTTTTTCACTGATCCTCCACTTTACCAAGCATGATGTCCTTTTCCAGGGACTGGCCCCTTCTGATAACATGTCCAAAGTATGAGAGACAAGTCTCACCACCCTGGCTTCTAAGGATATACTTCCTTCAACACACATTTTTTGTTCCTCTGGCAGTCTCTGATATTTTTTCATATTCTTCTCCAACCCAAAAGCCTTGATTCTTATTCACTGTCCAATTTGCACATGCATATGAGGCAACTGAAACTACCATGGCTTGGATCAGACATACATTAGTCCTCAAAGTGACATCTTTGCTCTTGAACACTTCTAAGAGGTCTTGTCCAACATATTTGCCTACTGTAACATGTTCTTAGATTTCTTGACTGCTAATTCCATGAGTGTTGACTGTAGATTCAAACAAAATGAAGTCTTTGACAACTTTAATCTTTTTTCCATTTATCATGATGATATTTACTGGCCCAGTGGTGAGGATTTTTGTTTTCTTTACATTATGGTGCAATCCATACTGAAGGCTGTGGTCTTTGATCTTCATTAGTATTTTAAGTCCTCTTTGTATACAGCTAACAAGGTTGTATCATCTGCATATTGCAGGTTGTTAATGAGTCTTCCTCCAATCTTGATGCCATGTTCTTCTTCATATAATTCAGCTTCTCATATTATTTGCCTAACATATAGATCGAATATGTATGGTGAAAGAATACAATCCTGGTGCACATCTTTTCATATTTTAAACCATTCTGTATTCCCTTGTTCTGTTGGAACAACTGCCTCTTGGTCTATGTACATGTTCCTCCTCATCAGCACAATTAAGTGTTCTGGAATACCCATTCTTTCCAATGTTATCCAGTGTTTGTTATGACCTACACAGTCAAAGGCCTTGACACAGCCAATAAAGCACAGATAGACAGCTTTCTGTGTTCTCTGCTTTTAGTCAAAATCTATCTGATATCAACAATGACATTCCTAGTTCCGTGTCCTTTTCTGAATTCAGCTTGAATTTCTGGAAGTTCTCTGCTAACGTACTGTTCTAACCATTTTTAATTGTCTTCTTGTTGTTAAGTTTGTTGAGTTGGTTCTGACTCATAGAGACCCTGTATGGGGGTTTCAAGGAGCTGCTGGTGAGTTTGAAATCACCTTTGTGGCTCAAACTGACCTTATAGTCCAGCTTATTAACCCATAGCGCACACACCAGGACTCCCATTTTTAGTTACCTTCAGCAAAATGTTACTTGTATGTCATATTCATGACATTGTTCAATGATTTCTGCATTCCATTAGGTCACCTTTCTTTGGAATGGGCACAAATATGGATTTCTTCCAATCAGTTGGCCAGGTAGCAGTCTTCCAAATTTCTTGGCCAAATTTCTTGAGTAAATGCCTCCAGTGCTGCATCAGTTTGTTGAAAGATTTCACTTTGTATTCTATCCATTCTTGGAGGCTTGTTTCTCACCAATGCCTGCAGTGCAGCTTGAATTTCTTCTTTCTCTACCATAGGTTCTTTATCATATGCTACCTCTTGACATATTTGATTATCAACCATTTCTTTTTGGGTACAGTGAGTCTGTATATTCCTTCCATCTTCTTATATTATTATCATATGCATAACTTTTATTTACCAATAAAATAATATGCATAGATTTGGTACATTTTTTTTTAGTTTTTACATTCTGCGGGGGCGGGGAAAAGACAAGGGAAAGTTCGCAAATTTCTCAGTCCGTTTTATAAAAGTTGCAACTGATAAAAGTGATCACTTTTTGCATGTATAATCACCAATTCTGAGTACAATCAGAATTAAAATTTACATAGATAAGTCTGGCTGTGTTTTTTGGTTTTGCTTTTCTAATTACATAATTATGTATAGAACACTGTAGCCTCTATAACTTGGGACAATTTTCAAAGCAAACTCCTGCTTCCTTAATATAAGAAAGCAAGAAGAATGTTTCCATAGTCATCATCCAGTATGAAAAATTCACAGGCTGCTGTACCTTGGTAAAGGTAAATGATGCACCACTGCATTTGACTGGATCATTTTGATTTTAAGTAGTTCCAAGACACAAAACAAACTTAGCACTACCATATCTGTTTGAGTTTTCCAAAGCAAGGTATTAATACAAGATGTATTAAATTGGCAAAAATCCACAAGCTTAAAGAAAAGGAATTGAATATAAAATGTTTGCCAACTTTATCCTTTCTAATTTTACAACCTCTTCAAGTATTGAGACCTAGTTGGTTTCTGGATCCTATCCATGATGAAAACAACACAATCTTCTATTTTAACATCCTCAGTGCCATATTGTGTTCCATGTTTCTCTCTGTGATGTATAAAACTTTTCTTCCAATTTCAATTAATTGTGCTTCCCACAACATCAGCTAATTATAATAATGAATTTTATCATCTTTAGCAAGTTGACTATATACTTCCTTTTGAGAACTAAATATATTTTTCCAGTTTTCATTTCCAGTATTCAGTTTTTCCTGTGATGAAGCATCCTTAGCTTCTTGAAATCTTTCAGATATAAAAATGTTTTAAGCTGAGCAAAATCTTTTGTTTTCCAAGCATTGTTAATTCTGTTTTTATTAATGCTTTCCTTTTTAAATGTTTTTGCATGATTTCTTTTTCCATAGATGCAATGTGACTTGAGTTCATTGCTCTTGGATTCTGCTTATCTCTTCTATGTATGCCTGCCAGTCCACCCTGTAAGCATCTTCATATACCTGGGTTCTGAGCTTCATATTTGGGTTGCTGTTCTGTAGAAGATTAAAGGTATGAACTCAAAAGCTTCTTTGGACCACTAACCACCCTTGGTGGATGAAAACCATCTCAGTACACACACAAAACAGAGGGGAAACACTGGCGATTTCCACAGCCGACACATAGTTCTTACCCAGACGTGTCAGCACACCGCATACACCCACTGTACTTGCAGTAAGCAGGCTCCAGTCTCATAGTTTCCTGGCACAACAAAACAACCCCAGCAATCATAACTCATTCCCTTGAGTGTACCTCCCAAATTTGTTATTATGCCTTCCACTCGCAAGGTACAATGGGATCCTTTCATCTTCTTTTGATGCCTTCTACATCATTCAATATTTTACCCATTTGTTGTTGTTGTTAAGTGCCATCGAGTCGATTCTGACCCATAGGGACCCTGTATAGGGTTTTCAAGGAGCAGCTAGTAGACTCCCTCAATACTGCAAGTCAAAGCTTGAATGCTTTCTTCAGATCTTTCTGTTCTGGAAATGCTGAATGTGTTCTTTCCTTTTGGTTTTCTAACTCTAGGTCTTAGCACATTTCGTTATAATACTTTATCTTCTTGAGCTGCCCTTTGAAATTTTCTGTTCAGCTCTTTTACACCCTCATTTCTTCCATTAGCTCTAGCTTCTCCACACTCAAAAGCAAGTTTCAGAATCTCTTCTGACATCCAGTTTGGTCTAGGATTGATCAGTTCCCCAGCATAAGATAAGAACACACTAGGACAAAGAATAAGAAAATAGAACTGGAAGTGGAATCTAGTTCAATTCAGACAAAAATTAATAATAATGTGTTCCTTAGCCACAGTGGCAAATTTCTCTTGGCACTGATCATATTTTGCAAAAATATTAAAATTGGGGATAAATATTCATATCTCTAGTAGAATCACAGAACTAAAGACATTCATATTCTTATGTGGTGTGTCAGCATTTTCAACAAACCTATTCAAAGTTTCAAGACAAAGAATATCTCCTGCTCAGCCATTCCCTATTACTAAGTGATTTCAACTCACAGGGATTCTATACTTATGATCCTAGAATCTAGACTGACTAAACTTGACTTCCTTTTCTTGATATTTATTTTGGAATAGACCAATTAATTTTAATAAAAATAATGACTTTCCAAAATATGAAGTCTCTCCTCAGTCAGGGAGCCTTCAGTTAGAAATCAAATAGTAGCACAGACTACTCCAAATACAACAATGACTTTGGAGAGAAACTGCTAAATCAGGACAGAGAAATTTTTTTTAATATTTGGGAGGACCTTTAAGGGTCCTTATTTGCTCAGCATTTAAAAAGGTGTAAATTGCTAAAGTTTTAATTCCTCTCAAGGTTTTAGAGTGGCAGGTGTGCACTTCTGAAGCTCAAGAAAATCAAGACAGATTGAGGTAGGTACATCAAAGATGGCAGCTAAATGAAGACAATGAAATAGACAACAACAAAAGACTGATCTGAAACAGGGTTAGGCATACTAGAAACTAACACAGACTTAGTTGGAAAGAAGATGTTGCTAAGAGGAAAAGGATCACAAAAGAAGAATAGAAATGAACTGAGATAATAAATCCCAGGGTGGAAAAACCAAACCCAGTGCTATAGAGTTAATTCCAACTCCAAGCAACCCCGCAGGAAAGAGCAGAACGGTACGTCTTTCCAGAAGCAAACTGCTTCAGCTTTCTCCCACAAAGTGGCTGGTAGGTTCCAATCACTGACCATTCAGTTAGCAATCCAGTGTTTAACCTACTCTGCCATCAGGGCTCCTTCAAATTATTCCCTCCCTCCATCTGTACACTTCCTTATTAGTATCATGATCAGGACCCTCACCTGTCATGTGGGAAACTGAGGTTCGATTCCCCAGTAGGGAGTCAGATGAACTTTGAGTCCTGGTGTGATGATGAAGGATAAGCACTGGAATGGTAACCACAAGGTTGGCAGTTCAAAACCATCAGCTGCTTTCAGAAATCATGTACAGGGTCGCTATTAGTCAAAGCCGACTTCACAGCACAAAACAAGAACACCATGTATTTTTAAAAGGACAGATGCTTTTTCATAAAAGTATAGAATTTCAACACCCAAAAGGAATATAGAGTTACATGGGAGCGTTGATGTATGGCTAACGTATATCAGAATTAGCAACAGTAGATTCTGACAATATCTAGTATTTTACACTTCTCCAGCAACCAGGATGCTTGGGCACACCTTCCATAGAAAATCGAATATCACTTCATGGAAAAAATGAATGCAAATCCCATCAAAATTTTGTAGGAAACTATTATAATAACTTCAAAAAAGGTAGTAGTTGTTGTTGTTGTTTTATGAGACTCAAAAGTGAAAATAGATCCGTGTCCCAGTGCACTGAATAGTAAAAGCAACTACTGATACTTAAGCATTCAATTATCTGATCCTATTTAATTAAAAAAAAAAAAATCTACTTACCTAGTAAACTTGCCACAATAGAGACTAACCCTGTTCCAGCTCCAATCTCAATTACATTTTTGTCAACGATATTGTATTGCTTTATATTTGTTTCCAGAAAATAGCATAGAACTAGAGCCTATAAAAGTTAAGAAATAAAATTAAAAATTGGTGCAAGGCAAGTAATAGCAGAAAGCATGCAGATCGCAGTAACGCTGCTATATAGGTGTGTGCATGTATGCATATGTTTACATATTGCTTATATACAAGGGAACTCAAAAAGTCCATTATCTTTAATTCCCTTTTTTCCACAACATTTTTACACTCCTTTACGTATATACAGATCTATTTGTTGTTGTTGTTGTTAAGTGCCGTGGAGTTGATTCTGACTCATAATGACCCTGCACAAGGTTTCTGAGGCTGTAAATCATTATGGGAGCAGAAAGCCTCATCTTTCTCACGCGGAACTGCTGGTAGTTTCGATCTGCTGACCTTGAGGTTGGCAGCTGGACTCATAACCACTATGCTACCAGAGCTCCTTGTATAGATCTATAGCTAGAGTTATATCCAAAGGGGCTTCAAAAGTTCACAAAAAATTCTGTTATCTTTGAATTTAATTTTTCCATGACCTTTATGAAGCCCATAAATGAGTGTAAGTACAGAATTATTGCTACAAAATCATAGAAACCTTTATTGAACAAAAATATCAAAATGGGAGGTTATCATTTCTCAACATATCTTCCATGTAGGTCTGTACACTTCTGAGGGCATTACTTTCATCCTCTAAACCTTCCCCCAAAGAATTCTGGAATCTTCTATTTCATACCACGTCAAAACGGCAGTTTGGGCATCTTCTAGAGACTCTAATTGTGTTCCTTTCAAATGCTCTTTGAGTATTGGGAACAAAAAAGAAGTCTACAGAGGCAAAATCAAGACTGCAGTTAGGATGGAGTAAGGCTTCCCAATGACATTCTCCTAGGATAGCCCTTATTACCCTCGAAGAATGAGCTGGTGCATTGTTACCTTCTCTGTTACAGTGACCTTCTCAGCTGACCTCTCTGCCTTGACTTTAACTGTCCCAGCAGATCCCCTCAGAAGCTACTGTTTTAAATGGACCTTTATTTTGAAAGTGTCCTAAGGAGACTACAAGTATTACCAAAAGAACTTGTCTACAGCCATCCACTGATCTCATAGAGCCATGTTTAAATACGTGTTTAAATACATGTGGAACCTCACTAGCAACACTTTTTGACTTAACCACTGCCATCAAGTCAATTCTGACTCATAGAGACCCTACATAGAGTTTCTGAGGTTGGAAATCTTTACAAGAGCAGAAAGCTTCATCTTTCTCCCACAGAGTGACTGGTGGGTTTGAACTGCTGAAATTGCAGTTCACAGCCCAGTGCTTATCTTACAGTGCCACCAGGACTCCGATACTTTTTCTCTTAGACATATATATTTGTGTGTGTGTGTGTGTGTGTGTGTGTGTGTGTGTCTAGATCACTACAGAATATCACCAGAAAGTGATATTTAGGTTAGATAGCTCAAATATTTAGGTTAGAAAAAGTCTTTGAGGATGGTGGGGAGGGAGGGTAGGAGAGAGAGAAAAAGAAAAAGAAAAAAAAAAAAACAGAAAACAATAATACAGAGGTCAGTTGCTTAGATTTGATTATTTATATTGAAAGAAAGCAACTTCTAATAATAAAAGAAGTGCGAGGTAATAGAAAGTCCTGGACAGAGAAGGAGAGGAAAAAACATACAACAAAACTCAACCACATACAAAGTCCAGACTTAGTTGATAAGACTGATGGAACCCTGAGACTGTGGCCCTTACACATCCTTCAAGCCTGATGTGAACTCACCCCCCAGGGATCAGCCTTCAGCCAAACCATAGACAGGCCAAGGAGAAACACTCCTCCTGCCATCAACTGCAGGAGCCCAAAGGATAGCTTTTACTAGAAAATAAAGTTCAGAAGGTAGGAAGGAGCAGGAAAAGAGGACTAAAGGAAACTGGGAATTCAAAAAAGAAGATGGGTAGGTTATTCCATCAAAGGCATTGCAACCAATATCACAAAATCAAATGTGTGTAAATTGTTGAATGAAAAACTAATTTGCTCCATGAAATTTCAGTTAAAAAAATTAAAACAAAGAAGTATGTAAATCAGCACTGGCAATGGTGAGAGCCTGCCAACCTTCAGGGGACGGTTGGTAAAGAAGAGGTGGTCTTTTGAAATATTCTGCATTTTGAGAGTTGGGCAAAGTTTAATCCACTCATCTAGCACAAACAGAGTCTTAAACAGGAAATTTTTGAGCCCAGGTGTGGTGGTGTAGGATCATCACTGGCCTGTAAGATCAGTTTGAACTGCCAAGTCAGTGATTCAAATCTACCAGTTGCTCCTCAGAGACCCTACACAAGGTCACTATGAGTCAGAACCAACTCAGCGGCACTAAACAACAACAACAAATTCAATTAGTCATTAAAAAAAAAAAAAAACAGAAGATGTTGTAAATAACATTCTGTGTTAATCTGACATTGAGAAAGTCAGAAATAGAATCGGTAGAAACTATTTCCCAGTTTTATGATCTCTAAATATTAGTGCTGCTTGAAGTAACAAAGTAGACTTTTCTTCTTTCCAATAGAATTTAGTAAATTAAAAACAGGCTAAAAATAATGGAAACAAAGCCAATTTTATAAGAAATTATACCGATGGCCAAACTACAGCACCGTAACAATCCATGGCTTCAGTAATCCGAATCTCATGACCCACAAAATGAAAACTTTCCCAGGAGGTGGTGGTTATTAGAGATGGAATAAAACATCTTGCCATAATCTCCTTAACAACCTGCTTGTCTTCAGAGTCCTCTCTGTTCTCTGAAAGGAAGAGAAAACGGCAGTGCTTATATTGATAAAGTCATGAAAACAAAGAGGGAGCAGATGGAAATACACCATTTATATTTATTTTAAACTACTTTTGAATATTCATTATCTCTAAATGTATTATAATAATAGGGTCAACTATGAAAATTACTCATAATATGAGCTAACATTTCATACATCAGATGGAAACATTTTTCTGATTTTAATTGAAGTTGAAATCATCACTATCAATTTCTGCAAGACTGTATGAAATAAGTAATTAAGAAACTTTTTAACAACAGTATCTTTTAAGGGCCACAAAAGACTTCTTTAAAGTGTTAAAATAAAAACAACACATTTGTCACTTTGAGTAGAAAGATGAGTCTGGATGAAGCCATGGTATTTTCAGTTGCCTCATATGCATTTGAAAGTTGGACAATGAATAGGAAGATTGAAGAAGAATTGACCCGTTTGGATTATGGTGTTGGTGAAGAATATTAAGTATATCAGGAACTGTCAGATGAACAAACAAAAGTCATCTAGAAGTACAGCCAACACGTTCAAGAATGAGCATGGTGAGACTTCTTCTGTACTTTAGACTTGTTATCAGGAGGGTCAGTACCTGGAGGGCATCATCAGCAAGAAAACAGGAAGGCCCTCAATGAGATGGACACCATGACTACAACAATGGACTGGACTGTAACAAAGATTGTGAAAACGGTGCGGAATCAAGCGGTGTTTCCTTCTGTTGTATATAGGGTCAGTGATGTGGCGCTTTTGCATATAGGGTCAGTGGTGTGGCACTGTTGTATATAGGGTCAGTGATGTGGC